AGGTCCTGACCCAGTAATTGTCTGGAGTCAGGGGTCTGTTTGTGTGTTTCCACAGGGAGAACAGCAGCCGGTTTGGATTCCAGAGAGATTAACCAAGGTCCTGACCCAGTGATTGTCTGGAGTCGGGGGTCTGTTTATGTGTTTCCACAGGGAGAACAGCAGCCGATTTGGATTCCAGAAAGATTAACTAAGCGATTTCTACAGACCAAAAAGAAGATGATTTGGCTCAAATCCATAACAACTGATATCCAAAACTCCAGTTTGGCTATTCTTACATCTGCAACAGAACCAGGATGCTTTTTTCAATATCTATTTTATTATTGCCCTTTGCCATATCATGAAGTTCTATTTTGTTTTTTGAGCTCATACAGACCTAGGTTAATGTTTTGCTGATCAGTTCTATTTTTTGACTATAGAGTTTTTAAACATTGCAATGGAGATTTCACCTGTAAAAAGTTATAAGGCCTTTACTATAATGTTATGTGTTGTATGTATTATATGTGTGCACACTTGTGTTTTGTGTTATATGTTTGAATGTACGTATGTCCATATATCATATATGATGAGCGCTCATGATAAAATGGATCCAAATATTTTTTTCACGTGATTTATATGGTTTAATTTAAATTGGGTAAACAACTGTTGAGGATTGTTTTAATATGTAAACAAAAAAGAAGGTTAACAGATCTGTTTGTTTACTTTCACCTTTCCTTTTCATTATATTTAATAATTCTCTTAAAGATAATGTAAATTGTTAAGAAAATTGTTTTCTTTTAGTGCCTTCTGTAATGTTACATAATTTTTTCTTTAGCCATTATTGCCAGAATTCCTATCTTCATCCCAGTGCCGGTGAAGACAATGTAAATTGTTAAGAAAATTGTTTTCTTTTAGTGCCTTCTGTAATGTTACATAATTTTTTCTTTAGCCATTATTGCCAGAATTCCTATCTTCATCCCAGTGCCGGTGAAGACAATGTAAATTGTTAAGAAAATTGTTTTCTTTTAGTGCCTTCTGGAATGTTACATAATTTTTTCTTTAGCCATTATTGCCAGAATTCCTATCTTCATCCCAGTGCTGGTGAAGTCAAAGATAAAACCAATCTACAGCTTCTACAATAGCCATCACTGAACTGCTTGCAGAACTTGCCTGGACACATTGTGAGCTCACCTGTATGCATTGTGAACTATCTGTTGGTACAGCGACTTGTGGTAGTGTTGGGGTATTTTTGCTGATGATGTCATTGGTGGTACAATTTTTCTAAAAGGAGCCGTCAATTGGCTTGGTGTATCTTCCTCCCTTCTGCTTGTCATGATCGTCCAGCTAAAATTTGGGGGCCAACAGAGGTGAGGCAAAGAACCTCACCCCCCCGCTGGTACAAAGACCTCTCCACAGGTGTGGCTGTATACTGGACCTGTAGTCAGTGACGGGTAAGATCCAATTGCAATGGTACCAACCTAAGGACCATATGTACTATTGGACAACCTAAGGCAGGCACGGTCCCTAAGCCACATGCTTGTTGTTTAAACAGAGAGGGGGAGATGTTGAGAGCCACAGCCGAAGGGGCCCCAGCAAACTTCCAGCTGCCAGCAAACTTCCAGCTGCCGGCTGATGATTGGCTCACAGCGGCCCCAGCAACATCTAGCTGATTGGCTCCTCTGCGGTGATGCTCATTGGGCTGTTTCCCTGCCCTTTCAGACCACGGAGATGCTCATTGGGGGACTTTTTTGGCTCCGCCCACGTGACCCAGCCAATCCGCCTCAAGAGCAGGAGGATTGTGGGAGGTGGAGAGAAGCTTGTGTGGGAGAGAGAGGCTTGGGGAAAGCCTGTGGTGGCAGTTGAGGCTCTGAGGGTTTTTCCTGAGAGGCTGTTTTGTTTGGCGTGTGTGGTTCTAAAAATAAAGTTAGTTTCTTTTGACAAGTGGCTCCTGATTGTGCCCAGCCAGACTGCGGCAGCGACCCCAAAGAAAAAGGTATTTGTGTCTCTTGTGTGGTTATTTTGCACAGCTCAGTTACCCCAATTCAACTGGAGTGACCCCTGAGCCTTTTATTCGCGAGAACAGAAACCCAGCAGATGAGGACTTCATTTTTTTAAAACTAATTACTGTATTTAACTCAATGCACCACCCTTTGACAGTATGTCTTCTAAATTTCAATATTCTAATTTTTACCATGTAAGGAAATGGGCAATGTAAAGAATATTTGCTTTTAATACTGGAAACACATGAACACTACATAAATGCATAAAATCCACTTCCCCAAGACAGTTTAGTCTCTTAAGAAATAAAAGAATGTACTGATGAACTAATTAAATCCAAAGAAGCCTACTTGGCATTATGCCTCCTTTTTGGTTGTAGAAGGGGCCAGATGCAATAACATATCTTCACCTTAGAACTGATATCTCACCATGCCCCATACTACAGGACCCCTAGAAATATCATTAAAACAGAAATCCCCTGAATTCTTGTCAGATTTATTTGTCAGTGCATATCAGTTGCACTGTTTTGCAAGTGTCTTACCAGTAAAGTCTACAGTAGTTACTACTTGTTGTTCACCAGGTCCAATAAGCATAATGTCATCAATATAATGGATGTACATAGCAAGCACCAGAGGATACGTTAACGTCCTCTACATCTGGTACAACAGCTGCAACTGGAGTTACTGATTATGCTTATGATAAACTACTGTTATTCTGAATGATCCATCTGCCTTCCAAACAAGCCAAACAAGCAAGTTGAATTAGGGGATATGATGGAAGTCACTACCCTTACATCTTGAAATGATGATGCTAATTTCTGCAATCCCTCCAGGATTGAAAGGATGATATTGCTTTTACTTTACTATTCTTCTAGATAAAGGCAGTTTCACATATCTTTCACTTGGCCTTTGCCCTATACTCCTGAGAATCAATGTGGGGATTCTGCCAGTTACCATGTATCTATTCTAATTATGCATTCTGGCATTGGGGAAATAACCACAAAATGGGTTTGGAGGCTCACTGTGCCCAATGAGACAGACCAGATCTTTTTTTTTTTTTTTTTAAATATTTATCTTTTAGTTTTAGTTGGACACAATACTTTTATTTATTTTTATGTGGTGCTGAGGATCAAACCCAGGTCCTCACACGTTCTAGGCGAGCACTCTACCGCTGAGCCACAACCCCAGCCCGACAGACCAGATCTTAAACTTTATTTATCACCTAACCTCCATGAGCTCCTACTCTGGCTGGTAGACCACAGTAATGTTTTGGGTCTCCTGGAATTAGTGCCAATTCAGAGCCAGTGTCCAGTAATCCCTAAAAAGTCTTATTATTAAAGGTATGTGTGTGTGGTTCTGGAGATGAACTAGGGCTTACCAGTTAGCTACATTCCCTGCCCTTACTTTCTGTTTTATAATTCAAATTAGGCTTTTGTTCACTTGACCCAGAATTTTTGCACTTACAAATGGAGTAAGACTTTAGTAGATGTTCCATATACTTAATTTCCACCAAAGAGTAACAACCATACTCCCAATTACTCTGTAACTGAGATTTAACTCGAAATCTTTCATGGTCTGTTTGCATTCTTCACCACAATAAATTTTTGTTCCATATTTTAAAAATGTTTTAAATTTAAATTATATTTCAAATTTCCCTCCAAAATCCAATGCTTCAGGAAGCTTTACTTTTTTCCCCTGCCCCTGTGGTTATGGGGATTGAAAACAGGACCTTGTACATGCTAGGCAAGGGCTCTGCCACTGAGTTACATTCCTAGCACCCTATTATCTTTTAGCAGTAAAGAAAGTGAGGCCCATAGTATGTACCAACCCATCCTCAATCTCAAAACACTCATTGCAATCTCTTAAAAGCTGTTACATCCAGATAGTCTCACTGTCTTTCATCCAGACTTTAACTCATAGAAGAAACATTCAAACACATCCAGTAACACCAACATTCACATGATGGCCCACTCAATCATAATCATTTAAAACACATTAATCTCAAGGCCATAACAGTTTAATCACCTGCCCTATCACTGTTATACAATTTATCTAAATAATTGGGTACATTCACAAACCACTTCACATACCTCCTATTTCACTCAAGTATCCTCTCCCTGTGACAGTCTCAAGTGCAAATCATGTCACAATTCATAACAAAGATTCAGAGAGAAAAGCACAATCACTTGTTCTCAAACATAAGTAACATTTCCTCACTAAGTCTGTCGTGAGATTTCAGAAAGGTTGTCTTTCCCATGGATTTGCCCTTCCTGCCTTTCTCAGTTCCTAACACACAAAAAGCACCTCACACTGCTCCCACTCTCAAATCTAAAGCTCAGGACAAGATCTCCCTGCCTCAGAGATGGGTGATTTATCCATCTCAGTTCCTCCTGGTCCCAACCTGTTCCCTCTTTCCCCAGGGTCCGAATTCCTCTTACACACGCAGCAGCTAAACCCATCCATTAGTCATACGTAGACCAGTTACAAAGTCATTATGTTAGTGGCACACTCCGCACAGAAATGATTTTAAATGGCCTCTCACATTCAAGCCACGTCCCAGGGTAACAACTCACAACCACGGTACGAGTGGCGAGCACGCCGCATGAACCCACGCAGGCAGACAGCACGGCCACTCTCAAATCGTTACAATCCCGGGCACAACACCCCGAGTCGGGGTCGCGTCCACCCTCTCAGTCTCACCTTCCGGCACGCGCATGTGCGGACCCAGAATAGGACACATCCCCCCTCCGTAACCTCACAAAAAGACCGTGTCCCTCCGCACCAGCCAACAATTCTTTTAAGCCACTGCACAAGTCCACTTTGAGTGGGTATAGTTAGCCACGGTGCCAGTTCCTAAACCCGTCCTCGGAAGACACAGAAAGTCCGGAATCTAGACACCAACCGCCGGCGTTGGCGACACGCCAGCCCTGAGTGAACCTGCGCATGCGCAGCCCCAAGTCTGCGCTCTCCGGATCTCTGCCTAGAACTCAGTTTCCCAGAAGACTCCACTGCCCAAATGTACTTCCGGTAGGAGCTTGGTGGAGTGGTCTGGATTCGGTGGGCCTTTGGGGACTGGTCCGGGAGTCAGGCGTGGGCGTGAGGCCTTTCCTAGAATCTGAATCCCAACTTGGGCGGGAGCGCACCCTGAGGATGCCGGAAGTGAGGAATTCTGGCTGCTCGGCATCCTGGAAGAGAAGTGTCTGTAGGTTTAGGACCCTGAGTGCAGGAACAGCCCTAGCAGGGGTGGGTTGTGTTGAGAGCACTTAGGGAGTCTTGGGTTTGTCCTTGGCCTCTGTGTGTGGCTATTTTCTCTGACAACATTGAGGGCGTGATTGTACTTTTGTGACAGTATGATTGTGTGTGACCATTTGTGTAAGTGGAGTTTGTATGACTGTGACCATGATTGTGGGTGCTGTTTGTGTCCCTTTACTTACATGTAGTAAAAGTACGTTAGACGTGGTCTCAGGGATACATTCAAGTAGTCAACGCACACAGCACAAAAGCCTAAATCATGTTGTCCACCCCACATTTATTTATCATATAGCTTCAGAAAAAGTAACTTGTGTAATATGTTTATGTGCTTTTTTAAGTTATTATTCAAAGATTATACCACAACCCCATTGTTTTGAAATTCTTTATTACAAAATACTTGGAGGGGACTGGAGGGCCTAGCTCAGTGGTAGAGTGCTTGCCTAGCAGATCTTTTGGTATCGAAAGACAAACTTAAGATTTTCCAGGGTGCTTCCTGGTGTGTTTTTTCTTTCATTCTTATAGTGCATCAAACTAAAGACTCAAGGATTACTTTGCTCTGGAAATTTTTGTTCTGTTTATTTCTTGTTTTCCACCTGTGTTTTAGTCTCTTTTAAAAATGCTTGTTATTGGGTCTTTTGGGTCTATTTCCTTGATCTTTTCTCTTTATAAAAATGTCTTGCCTTTTTATTTTTTCTTCTTAATACAGTGAGAATGTGCTAGTTCAGTGCTCAATTTTGAGCAGCTGGGTGAAGACCATTTCATTTTAGTGTTAGGAGACTAGTTTGGCCTAACTAAATCCCTCTGCTAAAGAGACCAGGTTGTTTTTCTTGAGTCCAATCTACTGTGGTTGTGTCCCCCTCATAGTTTTTAGTAAAGAGTAAAGATAGGATTTGTCCAAATTTCTTCTAACCATTTTAAGAATGTGTTTATGGAGTAGGGATACTTGAAGGGGGAATAAAATTATCATTTTGGGACCTCAGAGGCTTAATCTCCTGTCTTTTCTATCCTGTCATCCAGCAACACATTCTTTGGACTGAATTTCTTCTACAGTGGAACCAAGAAGAGGATTAATTAATACATTCAATTCTAAAATAAACCATGGCCAATGTAAGTTTACTACTTCAAGTTTCTAATTGAAGTAATTTTTTTCTTATAAGACACATGAATATTTGCATTCTTCGTCCTGATATTATTACTGTACTCAGAATTATACAGTAACTTACTAGTGAATAAGTGATGGTACCAAAAGTTCATGCCCTTCCTTTTTTGCTCCTTTCCTCTCCAACCAGTTTTCATACACTCATTGAATAAATCATTCCTTGTGTTTCATATGTTCGGTCTTCTACCGGGAATAAGGTGAGAATAGAAAATAGTATTCTTTTGAGGAAATTGTTGAGAATTGAGTGATTAATTGAGCATAGAATGTAAATTTAGTAAGAAGTAGAAGAAGAAATATGAGCTGGGTATGTGAAATGGGAAGATGATCAGAGAGAAGATCACTTGATATTTTGGAGATATTGTGGTTATTGATAACAATAGGGTCTAGAGTAGTAATGACGAGTGATTGAAGTAGAGTAGGAGGCAAGATTATGGAAGTAGAAGTATTTTGGGGTTGAGGAGGCCATCATGTTAGAAAGATTCTGTATGTGGATATTTGAAATTACTGAAAATTAAGATTAGTAGTATTGGTAGTAATGACAGTAAGCCAAAAGCTAAAATTCCTGAGTGGGGGGTGCCAGGTGTGGTGGCACAAGCCTGTAGTCCTGCTGCTTGGAAGACTGAGGTGAGAGAATTGTTTGAGCCCATCAGTTTAAGACCATCCTGGGCATCATAACAAAATCATGTCTCAAAAGCAAGAAAAAAAATAATTAAAAATAAAATTCCTGAGGAGCAAAAGCCTGAATGTCAACAAATCACTGTAACAGAATAAGATAATAAGATAATATAATCTGAAGAATTGATGACATTAGATTTTAGAGGTGTCTGACACCAGCAATGAATAACAAGGAAGATAATGGTATAACGTTTGTGGGAGGAGAAAAAAAAGCCACAACTTGAGATGTCCTCAGGGGAAGTAGAGTTCACAGGGAAAGAACAGATAATATGTCACTCTACTGGGAAATCTATACTTTTTCAAATTTGGGGTTTCCCAGTTAGATATTGTGGGAACTTGTTTTCTGTGACCTCACTGGATGGAAAGACTTTTTGTTTTGTGAGGTTTTAGAATTAGATGGAGACATGATTGATGTTTGCATAGAAAGAATAAATATCTTGCCAAAAGAAAGGTGAATACTTAATTACAAACTCCAGTTTTAGACAAACAGGATATATTAATCTCAGATTATATCCGTGAATCTGGAACATTCTATATCAATATTCTCTAACTTAGAGACAGAATATAGAGGACAGGGAGAGGTGGTAGTTGATGACAGTTACTACTCCACCATTGTAACTGGTATAGTTACAAATGAATATGTATAGCTGCTGTGGTGGTGCATGACTGTAATTCCAGCATCTCAAAAGCTGAGCAAGGAGAATCACAAGTTCAAGGCCAGCCAGGGGAATTTAGTGAACTGTCTCAAAATAAAAAGGGTGGGGATGTATCTCAAGGGTAAAGCAGCCCTGGGTCCTATCCCCTGGAAAAATTAAAAACAAAAATCTTTTATATGTGCCTTAAAAAAGACTTTATAGAGTTGAACATGATGGTGGTAATCCCATTGACTCACATGGTAATCCCCATGACTCAGGAGGCTGAGGCAAGAGTATCACAACAATTTAGCAAGCCCTAGCAATTTAGGGAGACTCTGTCTCAAAATAAAAATAAAAAGGGATTGGGATGTGGCCCAGTGGGTAAGAATCTCTGGGCTGAAGCCCCAGTACTGAAAAGAAAAAGCTTTAAAGACTTTGCCCATTCAGAGTTTCAAGTTTAAGAGAATGATGAAATCTCTTAATTAGAAGATCAAATGTTTTACCATCAGTTTTTAAAAAATCAGTTACTATTGCTGCATTAACAAAGCAGCCGGATGGGAGCAAATCTTTACCCCTCAAATATCAGATAGAGGACTAATCTCTAGGGTATATAAAGAACTCAAAAAGCTAAGCACCAAAATAAACAACCCAATCAATAAATGACCAGGGACCTGAACACACATTTCTCAGAAGATGATAAACAATCAATTAACATATATATGAAAAAATATTCAACATCTCTAGCAATTAGAGAAATACAAACCAAAACTACTCTAAGATTTCATCTCACTCCAGTCAGAATGGCAGCTATTATGAAGACAAACAACAATAAGTGTTGGCAAGGATGTGGGGGGAAAAGCACACTCATACGCTGCTGTGGGACTGCAAATGGTGCAGCCAATATGGAAAGCAGTATGGAAATTTCAGGGAAAATTGGGAATGGAACCACCATTTGACCCAGCTATCCCTCTCCTCGGTCTACACCCAAAGGACTTAGAAACAGCATACTACCGGGACACAGCCACATCAATGTTTATAGCAACACAATTCACAATAGCTAAACTGTGGAACCAACCCAGATGCCCTTCAGTAGATGAATGGATTTTAAAAATGTGGCATATATACACAATGGAATATTACTCAGCAATAAAAGAGAATAAAATCATGGCATTTGCAGGTAAATGGATGGAGTTAGAGAAGATAATGCTAAGTGAAGTTAGCCAATCCTAAAAAAAACAATGCCGAATGTTTTCTCTGACATAAAGAGGCTGATTCATAGTGGGGTAGGTAGGGGGTGCATGGGAGGAATAGATGATAGGGCAGAGGGGTGGGAGGGGAAGGGAGGGGGCAGGGGGTTAGAAATGATGGTGGAACGTGATGGACATTATTATCCAAAGTACATGTATGAAGAAATGAATTGGTGTGATATACTTTGTATACAATCAGAGATATGAAAAATTGTATTCTATATGTGTAATAAGAATTGTAATGCATTCCACTGTCATATATAAATAAAAAATTAATTTAAAAAACAAAGCAGTCCCAAATTTAATATATGAAAACCACAAGTTATAGTTTGGCTAGACATCTATAGTCTGGGCAGGGCTTGGTAGGGATTGCTTGTCTCTGTTCTTGTGGTATCAGCTGAGGTAGCTTGATTGGGAGCTGAATTGACCCACTTTCAAGATGACTTCTTTACATGGCTTGCAAGCTGTTTCTGGCTGTTGCTTTGATGGCTTTAGTTCCTTTCTCTATGAGTTATTCCATAGGCTGCTTACGCTTCCTAGAAACCTAGTAGCTGGATTTCAAGAACAAGCATTCCAAGAAAGTAAGGCAGAAATATGAGCCATTTTTGAGATCTAACCTCAGAAGTCATGTAGTTCTTTTGCCATACTTTATAGTTAAATCACAAATGTCCTCTCAGCCTAAGAGAAGGGAGCAATGATCTCCACACCATTTGGGAGGGAACAAATTCAGGTTGCATTGAAGAAGAGCATAATGGTGAGAGATACAACTGTGTCCATCTTTGGGAAGTATAGCCTGCATCAGATGTTTACTAAAGCAATTGTGTGAAGAGTAAAAGTGTCTATGACATAATAGTCATAGTGATGAAGGAATATCTTCAAGCTTATTTTTTTCCCCTAAGATGGAGATTTTTGTAAAACATTCTGGGAAAAATAAAATTTTTTTTCTTTTTTGTGCTGGAGATTGAAACAGGGGCACTTTACCCAATCCCAACCACTCCCGCCCCCTTTTTTTATTTTGAGAGAAGGTCTCACCAACTTGCTGAGACAGCCTCAAACTTAAGATCCTCCCATCTCAACGGCCCCCCCCCCCCCCCCGTTGCTGGGATTAGAGATATGCACCACTGTACCTCGCAGTTTTCAGCTATTTAATTGGGAACCTCTATGTATTCTTAATTTCTAGATGATTAACAAGAGTTTCCCACAGCATGCAAGAAAATGTATCTGCAGAAACTGAATTGTTTAAGAACATATAGGGTGCTGGGGCTGTAGCTCAGTGGTAGGGAACTTGCCTAGCCTATGTAAGGCCCTGGATTCAATCCTCAGCACCACATAAAAATAAATAAATAGATGCCGGGGATGTGGCTCAATGGTAGAACGCTTGCCTTGCATGTGTGAGGCACTGAGTTTGACCCTCAGCATCATATATAAATACATAAAGTTACTGTGCTCATATACAACTAAAATTTTTTAAACAAACAAATAAATAAAGGTATTGTATCCATCTGCTACAACAACAATAACAAAGAAATATAAGCATTCTGCTTTAGTCACACTAAATTCCTTTTTGATCAATTTCAAAGACTTAATTTATACACTGTTTTTCCTTTCCTCCAATGCCTTCTTTTAGTACCTATCTTTGCTTTTTAAAAATGTTTCTTATAATATCATAAAATAGTACTGTGATGTATTACTTTAGGGGTTGGTGTTGTTCAGAGATGTGAGACGTCTCTCAAGAAGAATGGGAATGCCTGAATCCTGCACAGAGGAATTTGTACAAAGATGTGATGTTGGAGTACTAGAGCAACTTGGTTTCACTTGGTAAAGTTACCTAACAGATAAGAATGTCTCTATCAACACATTGAGAATAATTTCTTAGAATATCTGCTCTCTCCCCTGTGAATTTTAGGGATAGCTTTCAGTTAACTAGATAAAAATTTCCTTTGGGTAGAAATGAACACAATTAGATTCCCTATTAGCACAATCAATTTCCCTATCCTCACTTGTTCTGGTCCTTTCTTATAGTAATTTTTTTCCTTGATGACTAATGGATAGAATTAAAATGCTGCATTGCTAAAGCATAACATTGTTAAAGAAGCCAGGCTTTGTCTTTTATTTTCACTGTGCTATACCTGCCAGTGCACAGCATAGAACACTAACCACATGGATCCCAAATGTGAAGCTGTTTGGCTTTTCCAATTAATGTAGTGGTAGGCTGGGTCAGTAAAAGTCATTTACTATTTATAGCTCAAATGGACACTATCTTATTTTCTATAACAAATGCACTTTCTTTTACATAATTTGCCTTTGGAAGTTACATTCTAAGAACTTCACATTTAATGTTAAAAAATCTGAAAAAAATATATCAGGAAACTTTTTTCTCATAGCAAAATAAGAAGACAAAAAGGTTATATAAATTTTAGTATTTCTTTGTTTTGTTTCTTATAATCTTGAACTTAACTGAATGTGACATAATTTATCCTTTAATTTTTCTTCTACAGACCTGTGATTTATTTTTATGTAAATCAACTCTGAGTCACTGTGTTTGGGTATTATCATTTCCATCTGATTTCAATTTCTTTTCTTATAACTAGGACTTTCTGTTTCTAAGCCAGCTGTGATTGCCTCATTAGAGCAAGGGAAGGAACCCTGGATGGTTGTGAGGGAAGTGACAGGAAGAAAATATTCAGGTGAGTAAGCCATTATCAGGAAGCTATTGCAGAATGTTGGAAACTGGTCAGAATATTGAGTTTGCAAGGTTATTAACAAAAATAAGTAAGCGGGGCTGGGAATGTGGCTCAAGCGGTAGAGCGCTCGCCTGGCATGCATGCGGTCCGGGTTCAGTCCTCAGCACCACATACAAACAAAGATGTTGTGTCCGCCGAAAACTAAAAAAAATAAATAAATATTAAAATTCTCTCTCTCTCTCTCTCAAAAAAAAAAAAAAAGAAAAGAAAAGAAAAATAAGTAAGCAAATAATTACAGAAAACCTGTTTCAAAAACCTGTTACAAAGCCACAGAAATGAAACAGGATGCTACTGGAGTGAAGAGAGACATATAGACCATTGGAATAAAGCACCCAGCCCAGAAATAAACCCTTGTATATATAGTAAAATGGTTTAGTCATGGGTGTCAAGACTGTTCAATGAGGAAAGACACACTTTAACAAACAATGTTGGGAAAACTGGAAATCCACATGTAGGGGAATAAAATTCAAACAGATATAAAAATTAACTCAAAATGGATCAAAGAACTAAATGTGAGAGCTAAAATGATAAAAACTCTTAGAGGAAAATATTATGGAAAAGATTCATGACATTGGATTTGGTAATGATTAATTGGCTATGATACCAAAACATAGGCAGCAAAACCAAAAAGAGACAAATGGGAATCCATCAAATCAAACATTTCTTTTCATCAAATGACACAATCAGGAGTAGAGCTGTAGCTCAGTGGTAGAGCTCTTGCCTAGCAGGTGTGAGGCATTAGGTTTCATCCACAGTACCACATAAAATAATCAATAAATAAAATATAGGCATTGTGTAAAAAAATCTTAAAAAATAACACACAATCAACAGGATTTTATTATTATTTTTTGTGTGTGGGTATTTTACTGGAGTTGAACCCAAGGTCTCTTGCATGCTAGGCAAGTGCTTTATCACTAAGGTAAAGCCCTTTCTCTCTTTCTTTTTTATGTTTTTAAATACTGGGGATTGAACCAGTAAGCTTCATGCACAGCCATTTTTATTTTAATTTTGAGATAGTATCACACAAAGTTTCCTAAGCTGACCTTGAACTTGTTGTCCTCCTGCCTTGACCTCCCTTGTAGCTGACCCAGTCTTCTACCCACCTTTTTAAATTTTATTTTGAGACAGGGTTATATTGCCTGGGCTATCCTCAGACTTGCAGTTTTCCTGCCTAATGTTTATTATTATTTTTTAAAAGATTCATATAAATTGCTTTGGTAGGTGATGGAATAACATTTTTAATGTGTCATGAAGACATTTTCAATCTAGTAGGGGATCAAGAGTATAAGAAAAAATGTTTCAGTAGAACACTTAGGAAAGAATTAGGATTGTTTAGAAGTTGGGAGAGTTAAATAAAATATGACTACTTTGAGGAGGTAGAGATGGCAGAGTTGATTGGGATGGAAAGTGGTCAGCAAGGAATTTTTGGGTTTCTGTGTGCCAACATGGAATATTTATGGTTCTGGAGGCCAAGAGCACATCATTATACAGGTCAAAGATCTTTAATGATGTCTACAACTCATTACATTGCTTAGAAACTGTGAAAGAATACATTTGTGTTGTTGTAAGCCATCCAATTTGAAGTATTTTGTTGTAGAAGCCATGAAATACTAATAGAAGGAAATCATAGAAAAAAGGATACATATTTTTCTATGTGTTTTAATTTAAAGATGTCATTCCTTTACCAAGGAAATCTTGTTGCCTGACTAGACTTTCCCTTTGGCTTGGGTATAGAGATTGATTGATTTTATTTTTATCTTTTTTTGAAGTGCTGAGTTTAAGCCCAGGGCCTTGGTAAGTACTCTACCGCTAAGCTGTTATCTCCAGCCCTGGTATAGTGATTTTTCAAAAAAAAATTTTTTTTTAAATGGAGGCTCATAGGAGGTTACAAAGAAATGTACAGAAAGTCCTACAGTCTCCCCTAGTATAAATACCTTACACAACTATAGTACAATATCATACCAAAAATTTGACATTGCTACAATCCATAGAAATTATTCAGATTTCTTGAGTTATACACGCCCTTGTTTATGTGTGTGTATAAATAACTATATGTAGTTTTATCACATGTAGCCTTGCATCTCCACCACAATAGTCAACATATTCAACAGACCAGTCACCACAAGACTCCCTGTGTTATCTCTTTATAGCTGCACATATTTCTTTTTCGTTTTCTCTAACCCTTGGTAGCCACTATGCACTTATCCATCTTTATAATTACATTGTTTCATGAATTCAAATTAAAACCAAAAATGAGATACCTATAAGAATGGTTAAAATGTAAAATGAAAAATATAATATCAAATGCTGGCTAGGATTCAGAGAAAATGGATAGCTCGTGCATGATGATGTAAAAATGAATGTAAAATGGTATGTATGACCATTGTGGAAAATAGTTGGGCATTTCTTTTCAAAACTGAAAATAGATTTACCATACCACCCACAATTTAATTCTTGAACATTTATTGTAGACAAATTAAGACTTATTTTCATGTACTAATATATACATGAATGTAAGAAATATAAACATATGTGTGTACATATGTGTGTACATGTGCGTGCGCACATGTGTATGTATATGAAATAGGAAAAAAAGCCAATTGAATTTCCTTAGTGGTAAATGGTATTGAATGTCTTTTCATGTATTTGTTGTCTGTATATCCTATTAAGTAAATTGTCTCTTGCTCATTTTTTAATTTGATTGTTTTTTACTGTTAAGTTTCAATGTTCTTTGCGTATTCTTTCTTTTTTTGAGCCAGAGTCTAATTTGCCCAGTTGACCTTGAACTTTCTATCTTCTGCCTCAGCCTCCTGAGTAGCTAGGATTAGAGGCCTTTGCCACTATGCATTCTTTGTGTATTCTAGAAGGCCTTTGTTGGACTTTTTTCCCCAAGTCTATAATTTTTCTTTTCATCCTTCCTTGCCCCACTCCCTATACTGGAGTCTTTTATCATTATGATATAAATTATAGATTTTTCATTTTTGTTTTTAATGCCCTTTATGAGATGAAGGAAATTTCCCTCCTCTCCTATTGCCCCAAGAGTTTTTATCATGAATGGGTTTTGATGTAATCAAGTTATTTTTCTTCTTTGTCATATTGATTTGATGTATTACATCAATTGATAAATCATAATATATTACGTAGTATAATATATGTAGTATATTATATGATAAAACAGTATTTTTTATTGTTGTTGGGTTGGATTCATAAAATTAATTGAGGATTTTTTATTTATGTTCATGAAAGATATTGGCCTGTAGTTTCTTTTTTTGTTCTGACTTAGCCCAGTTTTTGTATCAGAGTAATTACTGACCTTGTTAGGTGAGTTGGGAAGTATTCCCTTTTCTTTTATTTTCTAGAAGAAATTATTTAAAACATATGAGTGGCAAAATAAATTTTCCATTGAAATCATCTGGACCTGGAGATTTCTTTGGGGGACTTTGTGTGTGTACATGCGTGTATGTGTGTGTATATGTGGGTATTTTACTGGGAATGTAACCCAGGGGCACTCTACCACTGAGCTGTACCCCTAGCCCTTTTTTATGTTGAGTCAGGCTCTGGCTGAGTTGCCTGGCTGTCCTCAAACTTGTGATCCTCCTGACTCAGGCTCCCAAGTTATTGGGATTACAGGTGTGTGCTCCAGTGCCAAGCTATTTCAGGGGCATTTTTTTTAGTTGTAGTTGGACACAATACCTTTATTTTTATGTGGTCCTGAGGATCAAACCCAGGACCTTGAACATGCTAGGCAAGCACTCTTCCGCTGAGCCACAACCCCAGCACCTTTCAGGGGTATTTTGAATTACAAATTCAATTTCTTTAGTAGTTGTTAGACTATTCAGATGATCTTTTTCATCTTGGCTGAGTTTTGATAGTTAATTGTTTCAAGGAATTAGTTCATTTCTTCTAAGTCATTGAAGTTATAAGTGTAAAGTTGTGTGTGTGTGGGGGGGTGTATGTATATATATATATATCCTGCCACATGCCACTTAATGAGGGGAATACAATGAGAAATGATACTTAGGCAACTTCATTGTTGTATGAAACTCATATAACTCATGTTTACAGAAACTAAGATAGCTTCACCATCACTGGGCAATATAATTTTATGGACCACCATCATATAGGCACTCTATCATTGACTGAAGCATATTTAGGTCATGTGTGGCTTTAAATAAAGGATGTCCTTATGATCCTTTAAATTTCTTTGCTATTTCCTCTTTGACCTGCAGATCATTTTTAAATTAATTAATTTTTAAATTGACAAATAAAAATTGTACACATTTATGGTGTACAACATATTTTCATATATGAATACATTGGGAAATGATTAAATCAAACTAATGTATGATGAGAGCCTTAAGTGATACCACAACATGGCAGAGAAGCAGAAGAGCAAGTAGGTGTGTGCCAAAGAAAGATGACTTCCTCCCATGAGATCTCTCCCAAGAACAACATTAATCCCTTCCTAGGGGCAGAGCCCCCATGACACAAACCCACCTCTTAAAAGTCCCACCCCTCTCAGCTCTTACCCTGGGGGGGCCAGATTTCAATGTGCATTTTGGAAGGGACAAACCATAGCAATGTGGTTTACAGGAAGCAAAGAGATTGACCACTTATATCTCACGTGGAAGAGTCATGTGGAATGAAGACTGGCACTGGAGCACTGATTATGGGATAGTGATTTTCACGGTGACCTAGGCTAAAAATATTTCAGTAGAGTTGAAATATTTATTGAAGTGAGTTATAAATGACTAACATATAGGCAGGGAAAGGAAGTTCTATTCCATAAGTGGTACTGAATCAGTGGGTATCTGTCTAGAAAAATAGTAATATTGATTCCTACCTCAAACCATCAAAAATCAAATCTGCATGTATTGTAGATGTAAATATGAAAGGTAAAAGAGTAAAACTTCTAGAAGAGAGTATGGATATATTTTCGTGAC